CACACTCCTCACCTGGCCGCACACTCCTCACCTGGCCTCACACTCCTCACCTGGCCGCCCACTCCTCACCTGGCCGCACACTCCTCACCTGGCCCATACTGCTCACTAATGTAGAGGTGACGGGATTGGAAGGCTCCCTGACACCCACGGAGGGAGCTGGAGTTGGTCTCCTCTCCCAGGCGAAGGCTCCTCTCCCATGCTGTCTGCAAGGGTCACTGCATCAGGAGCGGAGCTTCACATAGAGCGCAGGCCGACAAGCAGGCCTCCTGCTGACCTCGGTGTCGCAACGACCAGAGCTCGTGGGAGGCGGGTGGCCAGGACCCCACGATTAGAGGGACATTTGAAACACCTGTGCACAACTTGTGGGCCATGTGCATAAGTACGGAACAAAACCAACACCGTCAGAAATGGCCACTGGGTGTGGGCGGTCACACAGCCGGGCCCCCGTGTCGGAGCCTTGTGGGTGCTGTGTGGACTAGAGAGCTGGCCATGGGTGCCAGGTGGCTGGCAACGCCACCCCGAAGCCTTCTGCAGTCTCAACACCTGCTTCTGTCAAATCCCTCTGATAGGAAGCCAGGGGGATCGAGGAGACAAAGGCGCGGCCGGCGTGGGTCTGGACGGGCCCGACGGAGACCAGGGGCTCCAAGGTACAGGGCCAGTGTCTTTAACCACTTTTGTGTCTTGGCACCTTTTCCCAATTCTCTCACTGTGTGGGCAGCACTGGGTGGCAGTGTCTCAGGTCTGATGAAGGAGTTGCTTTCTCGGGCGAAGCTTTTGAGGCGAGGTTCGCGACCATCTGACAACCACTTCAATACGTGAACGGTTTGCCAGTACAGGGCCTCCTGCTCCCCTTTAGTTAAGCAGACTTGGTTAAAGTGTTTGACTAAAGCCACCTAGTATCCATTTCACTTAAATTCTAACAGAATTTTCTCTTAATGGACCCACAAGTACCCTGAATTAAAAATTTTCCCCTGAATGTTTAAATTTTAATGTCAAATATAAGAGCTGTACTCAGCGAAGGCCAGCCCCACCACACCCCACCCCAGCCTTCTGGGGGACTGTTTGGGGTCATTGTCATCTGCACTCACATCCTGGGAGTCCACACCACAGGGGGGCAGGGCCTCCCCAACCCACCCCCCCATCTCCTCTCCTGGCCACACCCCAGGCTCCTGGCTTCTCCCCAGTCAGGGGCCCCCTCGGTGGGAGTCTTTGTTGGCTCCCCCGTCCATCCCTCCCCACCACGCACTCCTCCCACCACACCAAAGCGCTCCGTGTGGAGTCGGAGCTGCCACACTCCAGACAAGACCCAGACACTGCTCCTGCCTCGCCACCCGCCCCGCCCCAGCCCCACGCAGGGGCTCTGCCCTGCGGTTCTCCGGGCCTGGGCTCTCCTCCCTGGGCTCCCAGGGTTCGGAGACAAGCCAGTAACAGAGTGTGGGGAGGCTGCAGGTGGACGGGAAGTCCCGCTGCGGCTCGGTCTCACTCCAGATCTACTCATCTTCCTTCTCTGTCTCAAGGACCCCCAGGTGTGCCTGGTGTGGGCAAAGACGGCCAAGATGGCGCCCACGGTGAGCCCGGGCTGCCCGGAGACGCTGGCCTTCCTGGTGCTGTTGGTGCTCAGGGGACCCCCGGCATCTGTGACACCTCGGCTTGCCAAGGAGCTGTGATGGGCGGCGGCGGCGAAAAGTCAGGTCCTAGAAGCTCCTAAAACACAACCTAGGAAGTGAGCGTGACACCATTGAAGCAGTGGACTCTGGAGGGACACCGGGGTCAGCAGTGTCCATTACTAAGGAGAGAGCAACACACCGTGCGGGACGCCCAGCGAGGCCCCGCATCCTCGGTGGTGGCGCCTGGACTCCTGGTCCCCGCGAGCATCCTCCAGCCGCTGGGGAGTCCTCTCTTGTGGGTGTACAGCGGCCCACGTGGCTGCAATGTCGGACCTTGGACACAAGCCCTGTGTGGCACCAGCAGGAGGGACAGGGAGTGCAGTGTGTTCAAGCCCACGAGAAAATTCAGCAACTTGTTTACATGGCATTTGTGTACACTAAGATATAATCCCAATAAAATGATAAATTCAAATTCATGACTGACCACAGTGTAACCAAAAATAAAGGATTTCACATACGGTACCCTCCACACCAAGGTCTCGTCTGACCTACCTGCTTCTTTTGTGTAAAACTGTTAACTGTCTCTGACCAACAGTATTTATTGACAGTGACTTTGTATTGCACTAAGCCTGTTGTCATAAATAAAGCCACTCGTTTGAAAAACTCAGTTCTAAACAATAGTTTATTACATAAAGTACTGACTCTCAGTGTGAAAGTGAGGTCACCAAAGCAGCCCACCGTGACAACATCTATCTATGGACCCAAAAGAGCTTTAAAGATGTCTTTGGAAGTTTTCTAGCAAAATTCTGCAATGCAGTCCATGTGACTGGAAGTCGTTGCAAGGGGAGGCGATAAACAAATGAAATGAATTTCCAAACTACTTCTAGTGAAGAACATTTTGACTTTTCCAATTGCTAAGGGGGCGTTTTTAAATGTAAAGGAAATAAGTAAAAAGCAGTGTACCCTGTAAGACTAAAGAAATTACAAAGGGTGTTCATTTTTTAAGTTATCATGTTAAGAAAACATGATGGAATCAGACAGATAATTGAAAAATTACTAATTGTCACAGTGTCTGCATCCCAATGGTCTAAGAGGACAGTAATGGACGAATATTTTGTTTTATATTTTGTTCTAGATAAATATTTTTACAAAATGTGCTTTCAAAGTTCCCACTGGAGTTCCAACTTGAGTCATGTCCCTTGAGAGTTGACGGTTGGCGCAGAGCTCCAGGGCTTGGACACGCCCATGGCCGGGCAGAGGCCGCCTGCTTCCAGGAACCAGTGTCCAGTCCGCTCACTTGATCTCCATGGCAGGGCTGCTCTGCAGACTCTCCTGCGCGGGACACGTCGCCAGGGAGTCTGGTCTGGTCAACTTTAGCCTCCTGCCAGTTTTACCGCAAAACACACTCTCAAATTCCTACAGTTGAGAAAAGATCATTAGTGTACCAATCCATAGACATGAAAATTGCTGTCTTCGAAAACACAAAAGGTTGAAAGTAAGTGCTAACCTACTTCAAAATATACAGTTAGCCCTGGCCAACGTGGGTCAGTGGTTAGAGCGTCAGCCCGAGCACCAGAAAGCTCTGGGTTCCATTCCGGTCAAGGGCATGTACCTGGGTCACTGGTTCCCAAACTTACGTCACATCTTGCTAGGGGTCTGTATGATAAAAATAGGGATTTAAACACTTTTCTCATAAGTTACACTGACATTTACTTTTATTTAATTTTCCAACAGCTTCTCACAATACCTGGTCAGACTCTAAGACCCTCTTATGGTTTAAAAGCAACCACATTTGCATTTGTTGTTTTACTGTGGTAAAATATATTTAGCAGGAACTTCACCGTTCTAACCATTTGTAAGTGTGTGACTCAGATGCATGAAATATATCCACACTGTTGTATAACCATATACATTTCCATACGTCTTTTTTTTTTTTAAAGTACAGCATTCTTCATTAAATCTGGGTTTATATATTTTTTATTGTGGTAAAATATATACAGCAGGAAGTTTACCATTTTAACCATTTGTAAGTGTACAATTCACTGCCATTAAGCACATTCGCACTGTTGTGTTACCATCCCCTCCATCTATTTCCAAGATGCCAAACTGACACTCTGCCCCCATTAAACACTCACCCCCCAGCCCCAGCATCTACCTCTGTCTCTGTGAATGTGACTCCTCTAGGCCCTCATGTAAGTGGAATCACAGGACTTGTCCTTCTGTGACTGGCTGATGTTACTTATATGTCCTCCAGGTCCCTCCATGTTGCAGTTGTTAGGACTTCCTTCATTTTTATGGCTGAGTAACAGTGCTTTGTGTGGATAGAGCACATTTTGCCCGTTGTGAATGATGCTGTTGTGAACATTTTCATACAAGTATCCATTTGGGTTCCTGTTTTCAATTCTTTGGGGTAAATACCTAGAAGTAAAATTGCTTGATCTTATGGTAGTTCTATGTTTTTTTTTTTGTTTTTGTTTTGTTTTTTTTTAAATATATTTTATTGATTTTTTACAGAGAGGAAGGGAGAGAGATAGAGAGCCAGAAACATCGATGAGAGAGAAACATCGATCAGCCGCCTCCTGCACATCTCCTACTGGGGATGTGCCCGCAACCCAGGCACATGCCCTCGACCGGAATCGAACCCAGGACCCTTCAGTCCGCAGGCCGACGCTCTATCCACTGAGCCAAACCGGTTTTGGCGGTAGTTCTATGTTTAACCTTTTGAGGACACACCATATTTATTTTTTTCATCTTTACAGTTTAGAGTATTACAGATGTCCTCCCCTTCGCCCCCCGACCCCGCCATTTCTCCCCTCCACCCAGTTCCTACCCCACACTAGGCCTTCTCCACCCTATTGTTTGTGTCCATAGGTAATGCATACACATATAAGATCTTCGGTTAATCTCTTCCCATACTCCACTCACCCCTTTCCTCTAAGATTCGTCAGTCTGTTCCATGTTTCCATACCTCTGATTCTATTTTGTTCATTAGATTCCTTATTTTTTTAGATTCAATTGTTGATAGATATGTATATATTACCATTTTATTGTTCATATTTTTTATCTTTTTCTTTTCCTTTCTTCTTTTCTTAAAGAATACCCTTCAACATTTCATGTAATACTGGTTTGGTGGAGATGAACTTTTAGCTTTTTCTGGTCTGTGAAGCTTTTTATCTGACCTCAATTCTAAACGATAGCTTTGTTGGGTAATCTTGGTTGTAGGTCCTTGCTATTCATCACTTTAATATTTCTTGCCACTCCCCTTCTGGCCTGCAAGTTTTTTTTGAGAAATCAGCTGACAGTCATATGGGCACTCCCTTGAAGGAACTGCTTTTCTCTTGCTGCTTTTAAGATTTTCTCTTTGTCTTTAACCCTTGGCATTTTAATTATGATGTGTCTTGGTGTGGGGCCTCTTTGGGTTCCTTGTTTAGGACTCTCTGCACTTCCTGGACTTGTAAGTCTATTTCTTTCATCAGGTAGGGGAAGTTCTCTTCAAATAGGTTTTAAATATCTTGCTCTCTCTTCTCTTTCTGGCACCCCCATAATGCAAGTGTTGGTATGCTTGAAGTTGTCCCAAAGGCTCCTTATACTATCTTCATATTTTTGGATTCTTTTTGCTCCTCTGATTGGTTGTTTTTTGCTTCCTCATATTTCAAATGGTTGATTTGATTCTCAGAATCTTCTACTCTACTGTTGATTCCCTGTAAATTATTATTTATTTCAGTTAGTGTATGCTTAATTTCTGACTGGTCCTTTTTCACTAAGATCCTTGAAAATCTAAGTCCCTTGAAGCTCTCATTAAGATCCTTGAGCAACCTTATAACCATTTTTATGAACTCTGTATCTAATAGTTTGCTTGCTTCCATTTCTTTCATTTGTGATATGTTTGTCTCCGCATTTTGGCTGCTTCCCTGTGTTCCTATGTATTAGGTAGAGCTGCTATGTCTCCTGGGATTAGTAGAATGGCTTTGTGGATTAGGTGTCCTGTAGGGCCCAGTGGCTCAGCCCCCCCAGTCACCTGAACTGGGCACTCTAGGTGCGCCCCTGTGGGTTGTATGCAGTCTTGTTGCAGTTGAGCCTTGATTTCTGTTGGCGTCACTGGGAGGAGCTGACTTCCAGGCCAATTGGCTATGATGACCAACTGTGTCTACAATGGAAGAGCTGCTGTGCAGGAAGACACCCCACTGGAGCAGGACTTGCTTCAGTGGGGCTTTGGTGCTCACTGAGTCTGCCCCTTGACTGTGTTACTTGTGGATGTAGAGTTGCTATTCATCACTTTGGTGTGGTCTGAAGCTGTCTACTGGGTGCACTGGCTCTGGGGCCTCCCAGGGGTGCAAAGTTGGCCACTGCCTGCAGTCATCCTGCAGAAGCTAGAGAGATCTGCAGGTGGCTGAACTAGGAAGAGCTCAGGCAAGGCCCAGCTGTGAAGCAAGGCAGGCTGGTGCTGGTGCCAGGTCTTAGGCCTTTTATTGATAGATTTCATGCCAGCTGCTGCTTGTTTGAGAGATTTTAGTAAAGTCTGAAGCCTGAGCCAGGACAGACCATTCATATGGAAAAGCCACTGCAAACAGCTTGGGTGGGGCTGCAAATTGGATGGGGCAGGGTCTCAGGGAATCACCAGGGTGGAGCAAACAGTGTGGGCCAAGGCTGATGGAAACTCATATGTGGCTGCCAGTCAGCTCTGCAACAGGGGAGGTCCCAGCACAGGAACAATGACCCCTACAAGCACCATCTGGGAGAAAGCCGCCCCTGAGCTCCTGCCCAATGCTAAACAGTCCAGTTTCTCCCTGTATGTGTCTGGGTCCCCCACCCTTGGAGCTCAGAGGAAGCAGAACCATGTAAGTTTGTGTGCATGCCCTTTAAGAGGAATACCTGGGTCTCCAGCAGGATTGTCACTCAGCCACAATCCCTTCCTGTTTTTACAGCCCGAAGTTATGGGGACTTCTCTTCCCAACTCTGGAACCCTGGGCTGGGGGTCTGGTGTGGGGCTGGGACCCCCTGCTTCTCATGGGAGGCCTTGGAGATACCCTTCCCAATTAAAAACACGCCACTTGTGGGTGTCAGACCAGCCCATTCTGCACCTCTGCCCTCCTACCAGGCTCAATGTGCTTTCCTCTTTACTTCTCTAGTTGCAGGACTTCCATTCAGCCAGATTTCAGGCGGTTCTGAATGATGGCTATTCTGCATTTCTACATTAGTTATAATTTTGATGTGGTTGTGAGAGGTGGCGAGTACTGGTGTTTACCTATGCTGCCATCTTGGTTCCCCCTCTGGCTGCACCAATTTACAATCCCACCAGCAATCCCAAGGGCTCCAATTTCTCCACATCTTCACCAACACCTGCTTGTTTATTTTTTTGCTTTGTTGGGGGTTTTTTCTGTAGCCACAACCGATGAGTGTGAGGTGATATCTCATTGTATTTGCATCTCTCTGATGAGCAGTGATATTGAGCATGTTTTCATGTGCTTACTGGCCATCTGCATGGCCTCTTTGGAGAAGTGTCTTGCCAGGTCCTTTGATTCAGGTTTGTCTTTTGTTTGCTGGCTGTAGTAGGGCATAGTTCATTCATGCCAGGAAGGTAAGTGGCAGCACTCTGTGGGCACTGGCTGACCCCAGTCGTCTGGAGTGGTGGGCGCTCCACTGGACTGCAGTCTCAGTGGTGTTATGACCAAGGACCCTGCCATGTGCAGCTTCGCTCAGAAGCATATCTGTATATAAATATACTCTAAACTTTGTAAGGTTTTAATGCAACTTAAGACAAACCACATTTTGATAATTCCCTATGTTCTGATACCCAAAGCCCAAGTAAAAAATATCTGTCTATATTTGAAAGGGTAGAATTTACCTTTTTAAAGAAATTGATTTCAGAGAGAGGAAGGGAGATGGGTGAGTGGAAGAAACATGGATTTGTTGTTCCACTCATCCATGCATTCATTGGTTGATTCCCGTATGTGCCCCAACCAGGGATTAAGCCACAACCTTGGGTGCATTGGGATGATGCTCCAACCAACAGAGCTACCCGGCCAGGGCTAGAATTTAGCTTTTAAAATAACCAAAAAAGCCCTGGCTGGTGTGACATCCTGTGCACTGAAAAGTTGCCAGTTCAATTCCTGGTCAGGGCACATGCCTAGGTTGAAGGTTCACTCCCCAGTCAGGGTGCATGGAGGACGCAACCAATCTATGTTTCTCATATCAATGTTTCTCTCTCTCTCTCTCCCTCTCTCTCCCTCCCTCCCTCCTTCCCTCCTCTTCTCTCTCTCTCTGAAATCAATAAAAACATATTTTTTTAAAAAACTAAATAGAAGTCAGAAACAAAACAGCCATTTCTCAGATGGAAAAAAGGTACTTGGAGAGATTTTCTAAGCCATCTTCGCACATGAGGCTAACCCCGGGCACATCTTTAATTTTAGTATTTTGCCAGAAGTGGGTTGAGCCATGCTCCATCTGGACTCTCCCAGGGTCCCGGGGGACCAAGTCCCTGGGAGTTGGGGTGACTGTGAAACAGTGAGACAGGGGCCTCCTTAACCCTCCTCAGCTGAGCTGAAAGTCAGCTAGTCACTGTCATTCTGCTCTCTCAATTAGCATGTTTTCAACCAAACAAGTAAAAAGGCTGAGTTTTAAGGGATTTTTACAATTTATCAGAACACCTTGACATGACGTCTGGCCAAAGTTGATATTCACATTATATTTGTAAATATGAGAATGCCAATAACAAAAACTGTACTTCTTAAGAGGAAGGAGGTGTTCTAATTACATGTCAGGAAATGACACCAGGAAGTTCCGAGTAAGAACTCATGTCAGTAGAGACAAAGGGTTAAAGACACATGAAGGGTCTTCGAATTGATACAACAGCCACACACGAAGTAGACAGAACAAGGAATGTGAGGGCCTAACAGAGCTCTGAACTGTGTGACACAAACAGAATTCAAGGGGATGACAAATCCGATCTCAGTGGGAGATGTCACACAGGCCTCTGGGGACCAGAGGGGACAAAATCACAATTCATAATCTTGACTTAACAAACAAGGAAATTCACCCAATGAAGGGTGCATGTTCTTTCCAAGTGACCACAGAACCATAAAAAATTGACCACAGCCCTAGCCGGTTTGGCTCAGTGGATAGAGCATCGGCCTGCGCACTGAAGGGTCCCGGGTTCAATTCCGGTCAAGGGCACATGCCCGGGTTGCAAGCTCAATCCCCAGTATGGGCATGCAGAAGGCAGCCGATCCATGATTCTTTCTCATCACTGATGTTTCTATAGCTCTCTCTCCCTCTCCCTTCTTCTCTGAAATCAATAAAGATATATATATTTTTAAATTGACCACAGGAGAGGTCACATGGTAGTCTCAATAAACCTCAAAACTACTTTCTATACAACCATCTTCATTGATCACATTGTGAGAAACAGACAGGAAGAA